AGACAGTTTTTTGTCAATGACTTCTTACTGCCTCTGTTAGCAGATGGGTACTATAAAATACCCAACAGACTGGCAACCACCAATCAGAATGTTATTTTATGGGTTGGGAAGGATTTTGTATTGCCAGATATACCTGAAGCATTTCAAAACCATGTATTTTTCTCACTTTTTCTCTCAACAGAAAAGTTTAGAGTTTCCATGAATTTATAATGCTTCTAAAATTCCACTGTCTTCACAAAATTAATAAATGTGCTGCTACTGGATACTATGTAGTTTAATCAAATACATATAACTACACTATAATCTGCTTATGAAGTAAAGAAGCAAATGTATGTTGTGATAAGCTGTCTTCTCTTTTTGTGATCTTTTCCTACTGATTAGCTGAGTTAAGTAATTTGTGGTGCGTGTCTCAGTTAAATTAGTAAGGTATTCAAGGTAATAAATGTTCAGTTAGAGCACAATTTAAAAAAATAGGAAATATTGTGGCACTTATTATTGTTTTCCTTTTACTTAGTTTATTTTATTAAAGGGAACACCTTCTGATTACAGTCCCTTGTAATTTTTTTTTTCCACTTCAGTGGTTTAGAGAGCGAGTATTGTAAATTCAGTTAAACTGGGAAATTTGTCTAATATGATAGCAAAAGGATTTAGGTTTATTGTTTCTTACTGATTTTCTAAAGAGAAAAACTTTTTGGAAGATACTTGCAATTATCAGTCCTGCAGTCGCTGGCTATGGCTTGGGTTGCTTTTGTGTTTTTTTCTTCTTTTCTTGCATCAATATGGATATTAAAAATCCTGACTGGGTCCACAGTTAGATGTGGACAAACCTACCCTGAAATCAAGTCCTGGGATGTTACTATTTTTATATTATGCTCTGCTTGTTAGGGTATACCTGTGCTTGAATCTTAATATAATTTAGGGTAGATGGCAAACTTGAAAGTAAGTTGTAAGTATTGTGGAATGTTGAGGAACTCTTGGTGCTCATTTCACAAACCTCTTTGGCTGCTAATGATGATATCTGAAATTAGAAGGAATGGTCATTTTGATGCATAAATAAATGCATATTGCAATACAAGCGATATAATCTGACTCCAATAGTTCAGAGCCAGAGATTAGGAGTCCTTATTTTGTTTGAGAGTAGGTGAGGAGCAGACAGATGTTCATGCTACCCATGTTCAGGTCAGACACACATCTGCTATTAGATACACATGTGCCAGTCAAGCATTCAAGAATTTGTCACTCCTAGGTTGGACTACTGCAATGCTGTATGAGGCTACATCTTGCTATGTTTTTATAAAAATATTTGTTTCTGTTATTACTACTAACTTGAGTCAAATAATGGAATATTTCTTCCAGTAAGTTGGTGTTTTGAAGAGCTTCTTAGGAAACACTGAACAAGGTTGTTCATGTTCGTGGAACAAAAGGCTTCTCTGACAGTTGACTACTCTCATTTGCCTTTTCTCTTCACTCCAAGCACATGAATGTACTCCGTGCTCATGTGTTGAAATGTCTGTTTCTGACAAATGTTGGGAGAACTTAATACCGTTTCTTACACAGAGTACAGTAAAAATTTTAGTTGTTAAACAAGAATTTTCTGACTGAGTCATAGAGAAGACAGAAGTACTTTAGGGAACATGGAAGAAAGCCTCAGCTGCGGGACAAACCAGAAACCCAGGATATATATGGCCTTCTCTTACATTTACCTGGAAAAATTTTGTCTAGTAAGGATGTTGAAACCTCATGCAGTGAGAGAGGTTTGGTCCCAGGAGTAAGTGGCATGCTGCTTTTAGATTTACATCAGCTTGCTGCAAGGCACTGTTTAGCATGCAAAGTACTAGTTATGAATCTAAAACCTCTGAATGGGAAGGTATTCATTCATATGAAAGACTTTTTCCTCGGGGCATAGTACCATTCAGTGAAGGTACACAAGCTGGAAACTCATTCAAATAACAGAAAGTAGACACAAAGCAGAGTGTTATCTGAGAGAGCTTGGAACTGGTAGTCCCAAATCTTCCTACTTCAAGGTGGGCTGCATTTTGATATATTTGTTTCCTGAACAATGAGAGGGAGGATGCCAGTGGGAGCTCATAAATATCACAGTGAGCAGTAGCTGATTGGTTAGAATATACATGAAGTGCTGGGTGAAGAGGAGTTTTTTCAGAAGCAGACTGTTTTGTAACTATATTTTAAATGTTTCATGGAATGCATAAAGCAAAAGATAGCATTTCTTTTTAATCAGGATATTTATTTGTTGAAATAAATGAATAATTTATTTACTTGCTATCTTGGTTGTATGTCTCCTTTCTGTGGATCCTTGTCAGGATGTACTTCAAATGGATATTTTTAGAGAGCAATGTTGGTCTTGGGGAATAATTGAAGCATAGCAGTAGGTGAGTTATATGTCCCTGTAGTTGGCCTTTGGACCTTTTGAATGTCAGTTTTTATAGTAATTTCGTTACTTGAAAACATGCCGTGGTGATTAAGTGTTCACATCTTTTATCCCAGCAAATCAGTTGCCATCTTTGCCTTGATCAGTCAGGAATACTGCAAACCTTACTATGTTGTGTTCAGCTGTCTCTGTGCTATACATAAAACAAGTACAGGGTAATTTTTCCATCTGACCTTCCTTCAGTCTGGTTTTGTCTCTACTTTTGTTACTGTAGATCAGGTAGTATGACTTAAAGGAGTCTAAATGCACGCCTTCTAAGTATGTTTATGGGTATTTGTCTAATTATTTGTGTGTTTATTTTGACAGTAACTTGTGTGCACATGTGTTTGTGTATTTATTTGCACGCCTGCATGTATTTGTCAAACTACCTTCCAGAGTTTGCTTCTAAAATGTTGGACCTGGTTCTTAAACTTGTACAATCACTTCACTTTAAAAGACTTGTGGCAAATATAGACAAGTGAAGGAACAACTGCAATCCAAGAGTGTTTTAGTATTGAGTGGTCTAAATGAGCAGGTTGATGAATTAATGAAAGCTGAGTATTTCAGTAACAAAAAAATAACAGGGATACCTTTGAATAATTATACCATTTACAGCATATTTAATTATATAAGTATTTCATATGAAATAAATATTTTGGAAAACTTATCTATAAAAGCATCCTAGAACTAAACCAAAAATGACACAAAAATAGCACAGGAAAACATCTTTCATTGCTGTATATTGGCATAAGTTAACTGACTTCAACTGATTATCTCAGCTGATGTTTAATGAACTTCATCTCCAAGCAAATTGAATCGCCCTCTGAGATACTTAAAAATAGAGTTAATGGCTTAACTTCCTGCATCAGAGCATAAAAATGTTGTTCTGGATGCTTTAAGTACTCAGGCAGAAGTATATGTAAAAAAGGAATCTACTTGTAATAAGATACAAAGGTTACCTAATTTTGCATTGATAGAGGAGTAACGATAATCTAAACAGTTTGAAAACATGACCCTTATCTTGAAAGCTCTATGTGCCAGGATCTCTATAGACAAGACATTTTCCATTTTACAAGCTTTTAAAAAACCATAGGATTTCAGGAGATTTCTAAAAAATTCTAGGGAATGGATCTGGAACAACCCTTCCCAGAAATTGTGGGCTATTATAATCCAAGTTTGATCAATTTAATGTATAGGAGTCACTTGATACTCTATTTTATTTTACTCAGTGCTGTAATGACTTCATACCATTTGATAGCAATAAATTAAGTAATGGACATGTGAAAACAAACTAGATACTCCCTCGGTTTGTAAACAGTTTGTGATATACATATGTCTGTAGAAAAAGCATTTCTAAAATTCTAGATAGTATAGTTACTGATGTAGTAATTATCTCATTAAAAGAACACTTTTTTCAGTATAAATAAAATCCCCAAACAGATACAAAATGGTGGCCTCACTTGATTATTTGCACCAGCTTCATACCCAAACAGATTGTACTGTACTGTGAATAGATACAAGTACTGATACAAATAGCTGATACAATAACACAATACTAGAATAGCATTATCAGTCTCATTATGTAAAGATTCATCCCTGTTTCTCCTGACTTTTAAAAGTTAGGTGTGTGGTTGAATACTTAACCTACATGCAAAGATACTGCCATGGGAAATGCCAATCATGAGTTGGTTTGTACAAAGCTACTATCCAAACATCTGACAAGAGCTGTAGCTGCATGTAGACTTCAGCACATGCAAATTATGCCCACTTTTGGAAGCAAGTCTAGAAGATTCAGTTGAGTTTTTCTCACTCCTGTGATAGATACTGTTATATATTAACATATTTTCTGACAGTACTCCCTCTTTCTCAAGGAGATGCAGGACAGAAATCTGAGTCAATAAGTCTGGTCTTTTCCTAATATTAGCTAACCTTCATGTCATTCCTCTCTTGAATGACCCTGTTGAAGCCATCTCCCAGCATGAGTTACTAGTATATTTTGTTAGCATTTTCCTATATCTTTATACTAGTGTCATTAATGAAAATATTCAATCCCATCTATCCCTGAGCTGGTTGTTAAGGAATCCTCTTTGGATTGCTGGTGCTCTTTTCAGCTTTCCCTGCTATAATTTACCGTTTCTGTTCTAATGAGGCTTAGTTCTATCCCTCTTAAATAAGATTTTCCCTATAACCAGTGCTAGATGAATTTGCTTTATCACACTTCCTTTTTAATTAATATAATTTTTTACTTTGATTAGCTTTATATCTAAAATGGAACCATTAAGATAGAGGAAAATTAAAAAGCACATCAGCACATTATGAACTAGGTGTATGACAGTGATTAGATTAAACGTAAAAAGATATGTTGAACCAAACTTGAGACTTAAATGAAATAAAATGTCTATGGAACAAATCTGTGACATACAAGAACATAATCCTAAAAACCTACCTGACACAGGATAAATCAAATGTAAATATAAGAATTGTGAAATGCCTTTTAATGATTAGCTGCATTTTCTCCCAGAACTCAAGAATAATTATAATATCTTTTCCAACTGTTTCTTTTTCCTTACAGTACTTGGGGTGCATAGAAGTCTTGCGCTCAATGAGATCTCTTGACTTCAGTACTAGAACACAGATTGCAAGGTAAGACTTTGTACAAGTATGTTCTTTAAAGTAACTTATGAATTATGTCCCCAAAGTGGAAAGACCAGGAAGATGGCAAAACACATAGTAAATAATTTTTGGATATCATAAGTCCACTTTTTAATTTTGCTTTTATGGATAAATCTCTCACCTGGTATTAATATAGCTCCAACAGGGCTTAAAGAATATTTTCTTTGTGGTCTTTTGATGTGCCAGGAACTGTTTTAGAAAATTTCTGCCTGTTTGTTATGCTAAATAAGGCACTTACCTGGGTATCAATTTCATGACATTTAAGCCAGTGAGAATTAGAATATGCTTAAAATCTACAATGCATTTGTCAAAATTAGTCTAGGGAGCTGGGTTGTAACTGCATGTTATAGGTTTTTATAGTACTTTCTTATGAAAAGATGTCAGATTACAAACTGACTTTACAGCAGATATAAATGCAAAAATATCACCATAATGATACCAGAGACAAATGAAAGAATGTTGTATTTTCTAGGCTGTATGTAAGAAACAGATATCTTGTATGAGGTTCTTATTGTGATTCTTTGAAACTTGTCACAGTATTTTTGAGTGGTACATAAATACAGCACTGTTTTAAGAAGTGTCCATGAATAATTTTTTTCTAGGAGACTCTTTTCTGAAAACTATAGAAAACAGTGTTTTGCAGGCATTTTAACTTGAAAAGCTGAGCTCATTGATTTCAGAGGACAGTAGCACTGACATCTTCTAGCAACTGGAGACCATATTTTCAAATTATGGCATCAATATAATGAAGTAATCCTTTCCAAAGGAGCACGTATAAAACTGTATAGAGTGCTTGAATTTCACCTCTTTGAGACATCTTATACTTGCTGATAGTCTGTCATAAACCACTTGTCATACCATAGACAGCTAAGTAGTGCTTCTATTAAATGAGAAAAATTACTTATTTTTAGGCTTGGATGATGATCGTACTGTTTATATGCATTGACTTTGAGTTGCACTTGCATACAGCAGCTTTGAATTGGACCGCGTAATTCCTCACAAAATGTTAATCATTGATTTGTCAAGATACTGCTTTGATGAGGGGCGTAAAAGCCCAAAGACAGGTAAATAACACAATTCTGGTTTTCAGGCAATGTAGAGTATGGAGGCATTTGAGCATTTTACTACTGGATTTTCTTAAACTCATTGTGTACATTTCTGTGGTATTTGCAGCAGTGACCTTTTAAAATGATTTCATGCCTAAGCAGACTTGTAGTTCCAGTGCAGGTGGCACATGTATTTACTACTTGGAAGTTAAATGATACTGGCTTATAAAACAGTTGTGGTAGTTACTGGTTTTGTATTCTATACCTGAAGGTGAACTGAATTCAGCTTTATTTTTCAGCATAGTCTCTTTCACTATATGCCTTAGTTGGAATAGTGTTGCCCTTTTATTATTATCTAGATTAAAGGCATAACTCTGCCGTTAATACTTAAGCACAAATGCTGATCTAAAGCAGTATGGTCTGAACAGACAAAGTGTCATTGTCGTATAGTTCTTTCAATACGAAAATGATTCTTGGATTTTACTGTGAAACAGGCTTGGAATTACATTTTTTTTCTTATATTTGACTATATAGTGAACATTTTCTTGGCTTATCTTCCTCTGACCACTAGATCTAGAGTACAGGATATTTTTTTCAAGAAGTAGGCCCTATCTTCCTGGTTTGCTTGATATTTTGCATTTTCATTTTTCAGTTTATCATAAAACAATGAAGACTCATCATTCTGATCATGTAGTTCCTGATCTAAAACTTTTTGAAAGTAGGAGTTTTTAGGTGACTTTTGGATCAAGATCTGGCATCTTAATCTGCCATTCCATTAATTCACCTGGCTCTAGAAATCTACATTCTGTGTTTTAAGTATGCACATGCTTTGTCATGTAGCATTTCACATACAAGCTTATTCTTTATTAAGAAAATATTATTAAGGAAATACTGTAATTCACGTTTGTTGATTAACTTGCTTATGTCCATTAAGAAACATAACATAAGCCTCAAGTTATGTACTGAATTAATAAGGCTGATGTCCTGATACTACAGGCACCAATTCTCTCTTAAGAAGACACCTGGCACCAAATGGTCTGTTTGGCCCTTTGATTACAAATAAAACAAAACCACCTGAAAGTTACATTTATGTCTACCATGTAATACATTTATATTTAGGTATGTCCATTGCTGATTTCTGTGTGGACTGCTGCCAGTAAGAAAACTGTCCTTGTAATCTGACAGCTCGTGATGGAGTGTGACTGTGGCTTGTGTCTGTAGATCTAGTAATGTTAGCTGTGACTGCTCCAGCTGGGGAACCTAGATCCATAGCTGCAGTAAAAGCTTCTCTGTGTATGGGGCTGTGTAAACCTCCCTGTGCTGTTTCCCATAACTGGAGAAACAGCTGTCAAAGCAGCTCTGATCCGTTTCTGACCTATAACTTAATAAATTAATCCTACTGCATGAGTCACACCTGTTTAATCTGTTATTTTTTCCAACACCTTGCAAAACTAGACATAGAACTAAGTGATCTGTCTTGGGCCAATATGAGTTCTAGTATTATGCATTATTTAATAAGTACAATTAAAAAACAGTTAGAAAAGATGAGCCAAGTTACCTGATTTAGTGTGGAAGTCTGGATGCACCTCTTCCTAATAAGCACACCTTGTGCTTAACACAGAGAAAGTACTTACTTTCTAGCACTGTGTTGCATCCCTATCACTGCCTGCTCTCTTACCCTGCTCTTTCTCCATGTTGCAGAGCTCAGACATAGAAAGTCAGCCATTAGGAATCCTACGTTTGCTTTTTTTCTGTCTTCTGGTTATTGCACATGCCACTTTATCAGTCTGCTGGCCTTAACGAGGAGCAAAATGCCAAAGTAAGATGAGTTCCTAGAAGTAAAAAACTTCTGCGGCTCAGCCATGGGAGGGTAGATGTGTAGTCTCTGGCTTTGCTGCAAACTGTGGGCATTACTTTGGAGAAACCATTAGCACCAGTCAAAGACAACTCTGTGATTAAATGAATTAGTGCTTGCAAAGGGCCCTTAAATTGTTGGGTGAACATTTAGAAATTACTTAAAAATTGGGCTAAGATTTCCAGTTATTTAGTGAATTAGTCACCTTTTAAAATAAGTTAATGGGAAAAGGTTGTCCAGATACTTTGAATGGCTTTGAAAATCACAGCTGTTATAATTAATACATTAGGAAAGCATATACATCAGTGTGTATGTGTGGATCAGTCTGACAAATGAAGAACTGTGACTTCAACTCCAGGAACTGGATTGAAGTCCCAGTGTAAACAGTTTGGTCAGCAGCCTCTCCTTCATTGTCACAGTCATGTGAAAACCCAACCATTTAAAGCTGTTATACCTGGCCTGTAAATTGGTTTCATTTTGCTTTTTCACTTTTTGTAAATGAAAAAGTTCAGTAGATCAGGAATACATTAATCTTCATGTGAAAGCAGTGAGAAAGCACTTTCACTTATCATACTCTTCATTTGATCTTAATAACCTTGGTGGTGCCTGACAAAAGGTATTGTTGTCCTACTTCTGGATCTGATTTGAAGAACAATGAAAAACTGTGTAAAATTTACAGCAGATATTTCCCTTTATCGTTACAAATTTGAAATCTCAAGATTCCTTCACTACAGGAGAAATAGGAGAACTAGAGAAATATTAATCGGTTGCATTGTATTTATTCTTTTCTGTAATGAATGTAATCTCATGTGAATTCTTGAACAAATAAATGGATGCATACTCCAAGGGCCAGCAGTTATGCATAATGATAAATAAAAGCCAACTGAAACCACATGTTGCATCATTAATTATCCAGTGATAATTTGTGTAACACATGTGAAGTCAAGATGACTTTCTTGGGCACCAAGATGAACAGAAGCATTTAATTTTCGACATTGTGGAGGAACAGGAGGACTAGCAGGCAAGACTACTGAGCTAACCGCAGGTGGGAAGTGGTCCTAAGTTCATCTGAAACCTACCATCATCATCACAGAAAGGGGCCACACTTAAGCTTGTGTGGCCAAGCCCTTTGTGCCCTCAGGCTGTTTATTAAAAAAAAAAAAAAAAATCAGGTAAAATTCTTTTGCAACATGTGCAGTGTTTGAAGTTCATATAATATGTTTGTATGCTTATTGTTAACTCTGTTATAGTGTAATAAGTTCTCATTACTGTGTTGTATGCATGAGTGTAGTTATGCACTGGTTTGAGTTAGAATAATGTTGCATGCACTGTTTGTCATACAGCAGTGTCTGGACTACAAGGCTGCATGTTCATTGCTATTTAATTGAATGCAATCAGTTTACTGCATGCTGCTTCAGAAAGTCACACCTCCCCATGCTGAGTAAAACATTATATTGCATGCTGTTTTAATAGCAAGTAGTCACAGGACTGAAACACTTCATATCTGCAGTGGACCCCAGTCTGAACTCTGATCCCAGTCCTCTCCATGAACTTGGTTGGGCTGAACAATTTCAAAGAGATTTCTCTCCAAATTTGAGGCCTGAACTTTATTAATCATGAAAACCAAACACATTTATGCCAATATTCCAAGCTTCTGGAGGGGAGATTGTGGAAATCCAGATTTTAGACCTGGGTTTGAGTCCAATGCTAAACAATATGAACGAAGTTCAGTCGATGTAGTGTTTCTTTCAACCATGTCTGTATTCTTTGCAGAAATTCACTGTCAGCAAGCATCATTGAAAAAAGAATGGAAGACATTGAAAACGAAGGATGTTTCCCCTGTGATTTTTTGAAGACGGATAGGTAACATGTTATCTGCAGTGAATTCTGTATTTAGTCTCCCCCTTAACATTCTCTCTTGCTTGGAAGGTGAGTGCGGTTCACCCCTTCTTTCTGGTACGTGGACTCGGGGTGTGGGGTACCGCTTAGGGGATGGTGTTTGAGGGGATGGCAGAGCACGTGTAGCCACACCGCAGCCTGGATATACAGCTGGATGCAAGGAGGGGTGT